CCTAGATGATTTTAAATTGTATTGGTGGCACTTATACAAAATAATTTCATTTACTCAAAAATATATTAATTGTTGAATTTCTATATTATTTGTTATTAAGAAAATAAGAAATTCTATGTTCTGCATAAATTTAATGCATTATCATATGATTTTATGATGTAAACAATTTTTGGTAGTAAACAAAACACCTTGTTATTAAATATTTTTTGCACATTTTAGAAATATTTTTTAATAAAAAAATAAACAGCCTTAATATAAACTCAGTCCTCCGGGCTATGACCGCCGAAGACTCCTTAGCTCCTAACAATGAGTCTACCTTAGAAGCTCTGCTTCTAAAACACTCTATATGTGATTCAGAATTTGCCTTCTCAAGCCAAATCGATCATACAGCCCCCGAAATCAGTATTGATAAGACAATCAAAGCCGTAATATCTTTTAAAAAAGACTCTGCTGTAGTCTTGATGGCATTCGTGCTATCTTCATACAAGAAATTTTAAAACCCAACATTTCTTGTAGAGCTCTTTTACAGAACCTTACTAGGTTACTAAATATAATTCTTAATGGACCCCTCCCATCACCTATCATTCCTATTCTCTTTGATGTCCGCCTTATAGCTCTCAAAAAAAGGATAAAGGTATTCGCCAGGACCGTTTCTAAGATCATCGCTTCACGAATAAAGGAATCCCCTTCTTCATTCTTGTCGCCACTTTAAATTGGATTTGGTGTTCCTGGAGGCTCTGAAATTTCCGCTCACCTTGCTCGTTTAACTATAGCTAACTGTATACCTGATGACGTGGTCCTTAAACTGGATTTCAACAATACATTTAATACTATAAAACCCAACACTTCGTTCCTCTATTTTGCAACCAATACCCCGAATACTCTACATACATCCTCCACAGCTAGTCGAGTCATTCCTTTTTAAAATACAATTATAACATAATCGTATCTTAGGAGGGAATTCAGCAAGGTGACCCCTGAGGCCCAGCCTTCTTTTGTATCGGGATCCACAAGATTAGGAAATTCATTCTAAATCTAACCTTACTTTAAATTCCTGGTATCTTGATGACGGCATTCTCTCGGGGCAACCTCTCCTCAATCATGTCCATTCCCCTCATCATTGAGAATCTCTCTCATATAACTGGACTATCTCTTAACCTCCCCAAATGTGAGATTTGCTTCCTAAATCCCAGTTCTATCCCTTCAGACATGGCATATCACGTCATCAACATTGACGAGATGACTCATCTTGGATCACCTATGGGAGGTGAAAAATCCATCGAGACATTTAAACAAATCCCTCAACAATTTATCCAAATTAAATACATTATTTAATTACCTCCCAGCCCATCAATCTTTTTTTTAATAAAAAATTATTTAAACATACCTAAAATCCTTTCCGCCCTGAGATCCTCTCCGATCTTTAAATGCTGTGACTTGCTAGTTTCTCATGAAACCTAAATTAAGGGTCTTCTTGAAAACATGCTAAACCTTAAATTTCCCAATTCATCTTGGCTTCAGGCCACTTTCCCGGCAAGTCTGGTGGTATTGGTATCCGATCCCCGATACAACTTTAGCTCTCAGCCTTTATCTCATCTCGTCTTGCTGCAAAATCTATTATCGACAATGGATCCACTCCTTCAGACACTGACCTCTTACAGTTCACTTCACCATCTGGGACAGCAACTGCTCACCCACCCTTTGTCGTCCGGCTTCCAGCATTCAGAAAGATTAGAATGCTCCTCTGATAGCCCGTTCCGTTGAATACCTTATTTCGAACAGGCCCTTTGAGGACAATCCCAATAATTTAATATTATATGCAGGCTCAGGTTACGAATGGCTCGAAACCATCCCCAGTTCAGACCTTGGCCTCCTCTTTTCTGAAGAACAGCTAGGATTTCCATAGCCCTCCGCCTTGGATGTAATGCCATGATTCCCTCCATTTGCATCGACTGTGGCCATCCCATCGAATCGAAAGCTTACCATCCTTTGCACTGCAAGTTCTCCCATGGACGACAACCGCGCCATAAATCTATTAACAACATACTCCTAGCTGCTCTTAAAAAGTTTATATCCCATCCACCCTCGAACCAGTGGGCCTCTCAAACGAAAACGCCCTGATGGCATATCTCTCATTCCCTAGACTAATGGTCTTCCCCTAGCCTGGGACTATACCTGTGTTGATTTTGCCGCCAAGTCCAACCTCTCATTTTTTGCTATCGAAAAGGCCGAAATCCTAAAAAAAACAAATATGCTGGCCTCATTAATACCGTGTTTATCCCTATCTTTATCAATACCCTACGCATATTCGGAAGTGATGTTCTCAATTTCATCAAAACTAAAGGAAAAAAATGAGGCAGATCTCAGGGAACCCCAATGAAGGATTTTACCTTCGTCGGAAATCTGCCGATCCAATTTTTTAAGCATTCACTCTTCTCTAGGGTGATTTGTACCCATTTTTTAAACATTTTATAGATTTTTTTTATCCCATTTCTCACTTATACATACATATTTTTTAATTCATTTTTTATATATCATTAGATTTTATATATATATTTTTTTAATTATAATTCGTAAATGAAAAATTTGTTACTTAAATAAAACTATGATTTAACAAAATAAAATAATAATATTATTATAGAAATATAGTGTTTAAGATAGTTTTTATTTATTTAAAGCACTCTAATTCTCATAAAATTTTTATATTTAACTTAATAAATGTCAAAAATATACCTATTATAGAATAAGGAAAATATATTATTCGATCGAATTATTCGATTAAAATAATTTATATTAATAAATTTCGAAAAATAATCATATATTATTTAATAAAATTTCCTAGTTATTTCTAAATGTTGTTAACGGATGTTTTTATTCGAATAATTCATAATACAAAATTAACTTCCAAAAATTGTTTTATGATGGACGAAGAAAGTGTTTATTCTTATATGTAATTTATAACACATATACAATTATAAATAACTAGTAGCTATCCCGTCAAGAATGACAGGCGAACCAGATATTTCTCCTGAATAATGATGGAGAAATCATAAATTTGACTTTTTGCAAAAACTTTGTTGTTGGTATACTTGTCTTTTACATGATATGAATATTATATTGATTTTTCTACATTTTATATAAATTTACTATATATGTATGCTTCTATATTATCTTACTAATAAAATTTGTACCCATAGTTAAATTTCACAAAATAAATTTAATATGCTATCTTTATTAATTTACGGCAGAGACCTGCAGAGGCACCATTTGCACGGCCCGGCTTTAAATTTTTTAGGCCCAGATCGGATATTTTTTAAAAAAATTTTTTACGGCCCGGCCCGGATTTAAAGATTTAAGGCCCGGCCCGGATTTAAAAATTTCAGCCCGGCTCGGAATTTTTTAAAATTATATTCGACCTGGTATATACAAAAATTCACCTATGAGGTATTTTACCATATTTTTCAGCGAGTATTATCGCTTATTATTTAAAAAATACATGAAAAAAGCTAATATTTTGAGAATATTATATTGAATTTATAAAAATTATAAAACTGTTATTTATAAAAATGGATATTTTGAGCATATACTATATTTTTTGCATTTATAAAAATAAAACTAATATTCATAAAAATGGTAATAATATTTTGAGCATATACTATATTTTATATTGCATTTAAAAAAAATAAAAAAAATTAATTTATAAAAATGGAAAATATTTTGAAAATATAATATATTGTATTTAATTTACTATTTAATTTATAAAATAAAAATAAATCGCTATTTAAAAAAATGCAAATAGTATTTTGAAAATATAATCTAATTGCACAATATTAATATAATTTATTTTATAATTTTTAAATATCTTATATTACATTTATAGGTTGGTTTTTCAGGTGTAAAAAAAATTTATTAATTTTTATGGATTTACCAACAGATTTATGTCATTTTAGATGTGATGTACCATGTTTATAATTATAAGATAATATACTTGAACAATTCTTACATTGTACGTAGCCAATGTTTTTTTTATTTTCATCTATGATGATGTTAAATTTAACCCATATTTCAGATTTTAAATTATTATTTGTATTTCTAAAAGAATAAATATTATTTTTAATTTTATTAATTATATAATTAGTATTTTGTTCCATGATATTCCATTATTTGATTGTTTTGGTAAATATTCTTAAAATTTAGATATGAATTATAAAAAATATATTATTAATACTTGAATATTGGGGCTTATATAAGATATTCCTTTATTTGATTGTTTTGGTAAAATATGTTGTAAAAATTTATGAATTATAAAAAAATATATTAATACTTTGAATAAATTTTCAGGAAATTAATAATTAGATCGATCTGTGATGTGTTAACCATCACCCAATATTATAACCATTAACTCATAATGTAAAAATTTTTATAAAAAATATTAAGGCCCGGCCCGGGTTTAACAATCTTAGCCGGCCCGGCCCGGATATATTTAAAAAAAAATTTTTTAGGCCCGGCCCGAGTATATTTAAAAAATGGCCCAACCTGGGTATAGGGCCGGGCCTGCAGGTCTCTGATTTACAGTTAAATAAAATTTTTGAATTGAATCTAATATTCAACAAATCGAATTGAATAATCATTTTATTATTCGTACGAATACAAATAATGAATTATTAAATTTAAACAAATACGAATAATTTCATTATTCGATTCAGAATTTTGAATCAAATACGATTAATACAATTATTCGATTTGTATTTTTGTAGATCTAGTCAAAAATATCAAATTTTAATATATAAATTGAGCAAAATTAGGTTAATTTTGTCAAATTTCTAAATTAACTCAACAAGTAAACTTTATAACACATATTATTTAATTATCAAAATGTTTATATTTTCAATTGCCTTTGCAATAACATTTATTCTATACTAGTAAAATTATTGAGATTCTAAATCATTATAATAAAAACTATATATGTAACAATTTTCAAATTAATAAATTTCATGGATACAATATAATGATGATCATATACAGCATTAATAATATAAAGAATATATACATTTCAAATGAATTGAAAATTGAAATCCAGAATATTTTATTAAATTTAAAAAAATATTCTTTCATGAGTTTTCTTTTATATTAATGATGATATTTGAAATTAGAATTATTGTTTCTCATCTAATAAATGAACTATGTCATTTTCAAATGTCTAAAATCACTTTAATATAAATGTATATCATTTGTAATATGCTCACAAATGGTTCTTCTTTAGTTCCATATCTTTTTACAATCTTACCTTGACGATTAATTAAAAATTTAGCAAAATTCCATGAAATATCCCTACAAAACAAAATTAATATATGATGACAATCAGGATTGCTTTAATTAACTCATTTTTTTTCAAAAATTTAAATAATGGTATACAATTGTCACCATTTACATCTATTTTTGAGAACATATCAAATTTGACAGGATATTTTGAAACAAATTTTTTAATATCAGCTTCACTACCAGGTTCCTAATGTTTTAGTAAGCATTAGGAGACGATTTTAAAGTTATAGTTTACTTGATTTCCAAATTGATTGCATGGAAACGCTAGTATCCTTAAACCATTCGACTCATACTTTTCATATAAAGCTTCTAATTGTTTATAATTTTTTTCAGTTGAACCTCATTCACAAGCCACATTGACTATCAGAACAACTTTACCCCTGAAATAACAAACAATAAAAAAAAAATTAGTTAAAAAATTACTTGTAGATATCTAGTGAAATCTCTTTTCCATCAATAGTTCTGGCCTTAAAATCATAAATACTATCTGGTGTTTTACAAGCTGAAGTCATTTAAATTATGAATTGAAAAATTTGAATTATGAATTGATAAATTTAAATGATATCTGAATGACAAAATGACTTAGCACTTTATGATAATTTTGCGAATGTCATTTAGCCTATGGAGAATATCAGCTGTTGTAAAATATATTAAACATAAGGAATATAATTTTTATATAATGCATGTTGTTAAGTTAGCCGAAAATTATATTTATTTTATTACTTTTATAATAAATATTTTAAAAGATAAAATTATAATTATTTTACATTATTCGAGCACTTCAATGGAAGATTTTACCAACGTCAGAAGCGGTTTAATTTTTAAAGCATTCACTCTTCTCAAGGGTGATTATATACCTATTTAAATTTTTTTTCTCAATTCTTTTTAATGTTTTTCTTATTTGTTTTTGTGAAAAAATATTTTTTTAATGTGATATTGTTGGTATTTGTATTTAATATTAAAAATTGAAATCGTTTTATTAAAAATTTAATATCATAATAAAAATACTTAAATTATATTATTTCTTATAATCAAATATAATTTTAAACAAAAAAAAATATTATTTGCGTATATGGATATTAGTAATTTAGCTGAGATGAGGTCCTTTGTTTATCCAAAAATATTGAAAGATCTTAATTATGAAGAGATTATGAAGTTGGTAAGAAAGTTTTTAAGCCTATTTCAACATTATTTAGCTCGAGAATTAAATTTATTCGGATAGAAAGAGGGGTTGGTGAATCAGTTGCGGAGTTTGCAGCTCGACTTAAAAAATTGGCTCAAGAATGTAAATTTGAATCTGACCTAGATGGGAGATTGAGGGATCAGATGGTGGTTGGAATCAAAATGAGTGCATTGGAGAAAGATATTTGCACTAGATTTCCAGATGGAATAAATGACTTAGGAGAAATGATGAGTTTTCAACAGGTTTTAAATATGGCTTTGGCAATGGAAAGGGCTGAGGATGAAGTGACAAATATGATGGTAAAAAAAGTCAATAAACCTAAGGAGCAGATAGAGAATAATCAAGAAAATTTTTCAAATCAAAAGTACTCATATAATAATAATAACAAAGAAAAGGGTAATTTTAGTTATTACAATAATAATAATTTTAAGTTTAGAGATAACAATAAATTTAACAATAATGATATGTATAAGTTTAATAAATGCTCAAAATGTGGAAGAACTCATCCCCCTTTCCAATGTTTTGCATCAAGGGTGAAATGTTATAATTGCCAAAAGGTAGGGCATTATGCTAAATATTGTAAGGGACAGAAGTTACATGCTATGCATATAGATGACAATGATTCATCAGATTCAATTAATAATATATCCCAAATTGGTAGAAATAGTGCAAAGATATTTGTTTGGATTAATGGAGTACCTATAGAATTTGACTATGATACGGGGGCACAGGTATCGGTGATTGGGAAACAATATTGGGATGAAATTGGCCGACCCAAACTTGGACCAAAACCTTTATCAGTATATGGTAACCAACCGCTAGATGTGCTGGGTGAAACTATGGTGAGGGTTCGTCTTGGAAAGATAAGCAGATCACTACCGATTGTGGTGACCGGTTCAAATGACATTCCATTATTTGGACTACCATGGATACTGGCATTTAATATGTTTATTCCACGACAAGTGACTATACGTAGTATCACAAATAAAGAGGTTATGACAACCAATAAACAAATTGCTGGCATGACAACAGAATTTATTAGTGTTTTTGATGACAAGCCTGGACGGGTGAATGATATAGAAGTTAGCATACATTTGAGTGAGGCAGCAAGGCCGAAATCATGGCCAGCTTGTAGAGTACCTTTTCCATTACGAAAACCAATTGAAATGGAACTCGATAGATTGGTTAAATCAGGAATATTGAAGGCGATTGATCCAACACAAAAACGATTGACATGGGCCACTCCAACGGTAAACGTACTAAAAACAAATGGAGAAATCAGGATTTGTGCGGATTTTAAGGTGACATTAAACCCATATATTTTGTACGATTATCATATTATACCAACGGTGGATGATCTTTTAACCAAATTAAAAGATGGATTGAAATTTACGGTAATAGATTTGAAAGATGCATATTTACAATTACCAATAAAAGAAAGTTCAAAAAAATACTTAACCATATCGACCCACATTGGTTATTTCCAATATCAATGTATGCCTTTCGGTCTTTCGCGCCGACCATATTTCAAAGATATATGGACAATTTATTACAAGACTGCCAAATGACTGGAGTATATCTTGACGATATTATCATAACGGGGAAAAATGATGTAGAACATTTGAATAACGTAAAAAAAGTACTAATGAAATTAAAACAGGTGGGTATGGAGGCAAAATGGTCCAAAATACGTTTTTTAAATGAATCAGTTTCTTTTTTGGGTTTCGTAATAGACAAATATGGAATACATCCAGCGAAAGAAAAAATAGATGCTATTCGAAGGATACCAACTCCTAATAATATACACCAATTACGATCTTTTTTAGGACTTGTGAATTATCACGAGAGATTTTTGCCACATCTACATGGAATTGCCGCTCCTCTGCATAAATTAACAAGCATTAAATCTTGCTGGGGTTGGTCGGACAAGGAACAAGAGGTATTTGATAAAATAAAACAGCTTTTGTCAACAAATAAAACGCTAATTCCATATTCACCAAACTTGCCAATTATATTGGAATGTGACGCTTCCAACACTGGTTTTGGAGCTGTGTTATGTCATTTAGTGAAAAAAGATATTAGCAGACCAATCGCATTTGCCTCGCGAACACTTCTAGAGTCAGAGAAAAATTATGCACCAATAGAAAAAGAGGCACGAACACTTTTGTTTGGTATGGAAAAATTTCATACATTCATTTTTGGTCGAAAATTTTTATTACGAACAGATCACAAACCTTTGGAAAAATTATTTGGTGATAAACGGGAACTACCAAAAATATCCAATAGTCGATTAACGCGCTGGGCTTGGAAAATGTCCGCATATGATTTTGATATTGAATATGTTCCTGGAAAAGATAATAAAGTAGCTGATACATTATCTAGACTGCCAATAGATGGCATAAAATCAAATAATGATAAAAAAACGCGTTAAAAATTAGAGCTATAAATTTGCACGATATAAATATTAGTCAAGTTGAACTCCAAAAGGAAACAAGGAATGATAGCTTGTTTAAAAAAGTAGTTAAAAATATTGAGCATGGATGGGTGGATTTTGATGCGAAAAAAAATACAGAGTTAGTTTGTTTTTATAATCGTAGAGAGGAATTGTCAGTAGATCATGATGTTATTGAATGGAATGGGAGGTTGGTAATTCCAACCATTTTGAGGAAATCAATTTTAACGATTATACACAGAGGGCATCCAGGAATAAATGCTATGAAATCAATTTTTAGAATGTATTGCTTGTGGCCGAATTGCGATAAAGATATTGAACAATATGTTCGTCAATGTATGCCTTGTCAAAGTAATCGGTCGAATATTATGGAGGTTCCTTTATATTCGTGGAACATATCTAATATACCATGGGAACGAATTCATTTGGATTTCGCGGGGCCTATTGATTCGTATTCATGGTTAGTTGGAGTTGATGCACATACTAAATGGGCTGAGGTTGAGTTAATGAGAGAGACCACGTCCACGACAATGATCAGGGTTTAAGGAAATGGTTCGCACGGTTTGGAACACCTAGACAAATCGTATCAGATAATGGACCTCAATTTATTTCTGGAGAATTTCGAAAATTTTGTTTCGAGAAAAATATTAAATTGATACATACAACACCGTACCATCCAAAAACGAACGGTTTAGCGGAAAGAACGATACGAACCCTCAAGAGTCGATATTTTGCAACTAGGAAAGACATCAGGGAGCCCGAGGAAGCCATGGGAGAAGTTTTGCTAGCATATAGAATGGGTGAGCATCAATCAACTGGACGTTCACCGGCTAAGTTATTATTGGGACGAAATTTAAAAACGGGATTGAATTGGTTACGTCCTAATGTTAGTTATGAAATGGAACGATCGAATATAAGACAAAAAGTAGCGCATGATGAACATAGTCATATGAGAGAATTTGAGATTGCACAACCGGTATGGGTGCATAATGAAATAAATTCAGGTTGGAGAGAAGGAATTATAAAATCCAGAACTGGCAGATATTCTTATTTGGTAGAAAGCAAGGATAGAATGGTACGAAAGCATGCGGATCAACTTCGAAAAAGGGAGGTAGCTAAAGAAATGGAGAAGTCTGGGCCAGAGAAAGATAATGGAGAAAATATGGAGTCAGAGAGAGAAGAGGAAAATATAAAAAATAAAGAGTCGGATATAGTTGAGATTTTAGAAAATGTGGAAGATAACGGAAAACTAGAAACGCGGAAATCACAAAGAGCCAGGAAACCTACAAATCGGCTTATTGAGGAATTGTAAGATCATATGTGTGGGGATATGTTATAAATGAGATTTATATTATATATTATCAATGTTATAAATGTCATATATATATTATCAATGATATAAATGTCATAGATACAAATCAATCATATTAATATATTTCATGAAGTGATTGCCAGTCAAATAAACTTAATTAGTATAGCCTTCGATATATATTCTGAGAGAATGCCTTGAGGAATGCTAAATATTTATATTGAAAGTATATAAATTGTTGCCAATACAGAGCCGTAGCCAGGAATTTTCAGCTGGGGGGGGGGGCAGCTGCTTACTTGAGGGGGTCACTTTTTTAAAAAAATAAAACAAATAATTAAGCATTTATAGAAATATTTTGCTATTTTTATTAAAAATTTATTAATGTAATATGAATATAAAATAATACTATATATACAATTCTTTAAACGAATGATGATATTTTTTTATACGTAATTTTTAGGATATTTTCAATTTTGTGTTTTTTTAACTCCTAAAACTAATAATCCTTTAGCTATTTTATTTTATAATGGTTTCCATTTTTAAGTAATAATGATTCTAATCGGGCCATTTTATCCGATATAAAATAATCAGAGTTAAAGGGGGATAATGTATTAAAACATAATAGAAGATTATAGTCATCTTGAGTATATCTATCTAAAAAACGATCATCACAAAGTAATCTATAATTTAATAATAATTCCTTTTTAAAGAACTCCAATTGAAGTCTTTTCCACAATCAAATTGTAATTTCTCGACTAAATCTTGATAATTTATAGGCGTTTTACGTACCATTGATGATTTGGGGGGAAGGAGATTAAATTTTGTTAAAGGTTTTCAGCTATAATTCTAATCAAATAAAAAATATTATCGCTTCTTTTATTTTTTAATATATTGATAGTGGAATCAATACAATTTTTAGTGTCCACTAGATTAGTACCTACTGAATGTAGATACTTATTTAGTTTAACGCATAAAAAAATACTTTACCAATAGCAAAATATGATGTGAGAGGCTTCTAAATGACCAGTCGACCTCTGGTCTAAAAGTCTCTCAAGAGTATGGCCTGAATATTTACAGGATACCATAAAGCGCCTAAAAAATTATATAACGCATAGGATAAATTAAAAAATTAGAAATGATAATAATATTATTATATTTTGAACACAAAATGCAAAATGTGGTTGTAGCAATGTACATAAGGAACTTTTTTTTTGTAGTAGGGTTTGCACCTCTTCATTTCGGCCAGAAAAAACGTTTACCCCATGGTATGCTGAATTAATATTTAAATGATTAAGTTGCTTTAAAATGTAATTAGTAATGAAGACACTGTAAATTAATAATTCCTATTAAATTTTTTTTAAACTTCTCCAAAAAAAATAGCGAATAATTATACTCAGGTTTTCACAACATTATCATCTTATATCTCATCAGCGTTAAGACAAATAAAAGGTATCTAATATTTATCTGAAATATATGCAAGCACCATATCTGTCATAATAGATATTACTTAGTTTTGAATCTGTGATGTGTATTGGCATGGCATTTTTGTGTATAAATTTCATAATTTATTTAATTCAGGATCTTTTTGGATGGTGTATGATAATATTGCTATAAATAGTCTAGAAGAATAAATTATGTTTTCACCAGTTGCAGCATCCATAATATTTGTTGGACCAATCCCACTAAAAGGTAGCTCCTGCATGCTAAGAAATAGCATCAAATCAAATATTGATTTAAGATAGTAAAGATTATATTATCACTTTTATTTTCAAAAAACTTCAATGTACAGTTATAAAAGTAAAACAAACAATAATGAAAATACTATTTAAAAAAATATTAAAATTATAATTGACATACTATATTTATATTCTATAAAAATAAATTACTATAATATATTTAGGTATGGTCTTAAAACATGATAGAAAGAAATTTACAAACTAGACATGATTTTTGAATAAATATTTAAATTTTTTTTTAAAAATATAAAAATAATATATTATAAAAAATTTTTAAATTTAGGGGCCGGAAAAATTTATGGAAGTCTTTTTTGAGAGCCAAAGATTTTTTCTGGGACCAAAAACTTTTTTTTTTGGGGGGGGGGCTGCCTCTCCCTTGGCTACTGCTCTGTGCCAATATATACTCATTTCTTCATATAAAAAATCGGAATTATTTTAATAAAATTAAGTAATACCATTATATATTTAACTAAATATAACTCAAAAAAAGGAAAAAAGAATAAAAACTAAGTTATGATATTAAAAAAATATTAAATAAAAATTAATATTGCTCAAAAAATAATGTAAATAAGAATTGTTAGAATTGGAAAAGAATTCATAAAAAAAGGAGAAGTTCAAAAATTAAATTGGTAAAAATTTTTGCTAGCTGGTTTACAAATCAGCTAATTTCTCATATTTGTTGTGTTAACATATGATATTAAAAATGAAATGCATAGCTTAAAAAAGACGAAACATAAATCATGGTTTTTATATATCCCTATATTTCAAAATAGTTTCATCAATAGAACACATATATTAAAAAATAATTTAGAAAACAATGAAAATTAATTGGATATTTTAACAATTATTTCGTCGTTATTTTTAATAGAATAAAAGGAGAGTTCGCTGTAATCATTTTCAAGGTCAATGTACACCAGATTAACATCGTTACCATTTTCGTGGCGGATGTCTTTAAGTGTCAAGAGAACATCGCCAAATAGATGAGAGTCAATTTTAAAAGCTCTTTTAATCAAGGATTTGCATTTAGATATTGTCATGTTACCTGGTTTATTTTTAAATATGCAATTTTTAAAAAAATATTAATATTCAAATGAATTACACTTTAATGAAAATTACATTTAAAAAATTAAGGATATGTAATTTAATAATTTTTTTATTATTATAAATATAATCTGAGCAGTATGTGATTTTCAGACTTAAAAAGAATACATATAAATTTAAACGTATTCTAAACTTCATATAAAAATGAATTTATAAAAACCTATAAAAGAGTGTCCTAATTTTCTGAATAGAATGCTCTATTCAGAGGGGGAAAAAATATAAGACGATAGTAGGGTTGGCATAATTTATAAAATTTATTTAAATCGCAATTAAATTCACGATTAAAATCAATGACATTTTTTTGAATAAAAAATCAATTGAATATTTGCATATTAGTTATATAGTTTTTCTTTAATTAAAACAACAATTTTATTATTTCTTATTTCACTATATTTTGTATAAGTTATAATTAATTGCTAAATTTTAAAGTGATTTTATACACTTGAGAGTTGAAATAATTTTGAAAATAATTTCTTAATTTAATAAATCCCTATAAAATTTATCTTATTTATTATTTAATCTTAAAGGGAAATCTCTATAATTATTTCAATTTACCCTAATTTATATAAATGTCAATATTTTGCTTCTAGGAAAATAAATTCATTGTATTAAAATATAGCATATAAATATTGATATTTATTTTAGATAAAGTAGTTTTTAGTCAATCCAATATAGTTTTAACAAATAATTTATTATTAAATATCAGAGAAAAACGGATGTTTAATATAATAAAATAAATGTATATTCAATTAATAAATTTTTTTTCGTGGATTTTTATATTTCTCCAGAACACATAAAATATTTTTATTATTTTATAAAACTTAATCTAAATATTAAAAAAAACAATTTCTATGTTTTTAAATTAAAAATAATCATGATCTTTGCCAACGGATATTATCTTTTGACAAGAATAGATAAAAGTTAAAATAAGAATCATATAAATAATACGCACTGGGTAATCTTTTAACTAAACGTTTATCGTTATACATGAATACTATTTTGATAAGATCATCCGAGATTTTGGAATGATTCAGGTTCGCTACACTAATCATGGAATCAGGAGCACCATATTCTAAGTGTATAGCAATTGGAGAGATTATTTAATAAATAATATTTGAAAGCTATTGTATCAATTTGAAAAAATAATTAAGTTAAACAATTAATTAACTATAACCTTAAGAGTGGTAGAAGTCGTGATAAAGGATCGAATAAAAAATTTATATTTGCAATCAAAACTTTAATAAAACTTTAAATATGTATAAAAAATAATAGTTGTAAATTCTAATCTTTTCTTTCTTTATAGAATAAATTCTCATTGCATATTTAACAATCTGAATAATAAAATAAATAACAATTAATTTACATATCTGGCATTTCTATAAATTATACAATTATCTCATCATCATAATTAAAAATAACTATTAATTTACATGTCTATTTTACAAATATAAAATTTTCTCTTTGCATCATTTAATAATTAAAAGTAACAATTGTTTACATTTTATATTTTATAAAAACAATTTGCGTGTAAAAATTATTCAACGAACTCACAACAACCCTTTCCTTAGCGCTGTTAATAGAGCAAGGCGCTCTACACAGGATTTTCCCGTAACCTCTCTTCTTCATCTTAAACGTGATTACTGATGAATAAAATCTCATTAAATGATTCCACAGGTCAACAAGCTAGCCTCGTCAATTTTATTCATTTGTCCCAGCCCTGCCCTGTTTGTGTGACGATATATTGGCGTATCTTTGGTAATCTCCCCATACATATGTCGTGCTTCTTCCCTGGAGCCGTCTATCTCTGATTTCTTAATAATCTTGTTCCCAATCTAAAGTATGACATCTAAAAATAGAATTTACATGCATATATATATCAGTGAATAAAAACACATTATTGGCAGTTCAAGAAGAAGAGAGGAAAATCCTGCATAGAGCGCCTGGCCGTATTAACAAAGCTAAGGAAGAGGGGTGTTGTGAGTCGTTGATAATTTTTACATGCAAATTGTAATTTTTATATAAAATGATTAATTTTTTTTAAAATTATTAAATGATGCAATGAGCAAATTGTATATTGGTAGAAAAATCAGACATGTAAATTAATAGTTATTTTTAATTATGATGATGCAATGAGAAAATTTTAAATTTGTAGAAAGGCCTGACATGTAAATTAATAGTTATTAATGATTTTATATTCTTATTAGTGTTGTTAAATGGCTTGATTTGAGCTTATTTCCAAATTTCGATCGAACTACATTTTAAAAATTTTTGAAAGCAAATATAATAAGTTTACTTAATTTTTCATTCGATCCATTACCATGACTTTTACTACTTCTAAAGCTGGACAATATTTTTTTCTAAAATATCGCAGTTATCATAATTTTAAATAAATGAATTAAATTTTAAAAAAAATATGACTAATAAACAATACAAAAGATCATAATAATTTTTATAAAAAAATGGCTAAATCATACTTTCAACCAAGCTCGGGTAAGTCGGGTGAAGTGTGCAAAAATCAGATGAGGGGGTATTATCTTTAGCAACGCCGATCTTATGATAATCTTCGGCAAAATGTTTTAGATAATAAATTTCCGCATTTTTCCTGTCCCACAGGTGGAGGGTGCTGCCGTTTAGAATTTTGAGTTTAGGTAGTTTAGCTATAAGGCACCAGTCAATTCGGCTCAACTCCTTACTGTAGGGATCTAAGGTTGAAGAATCGACGTCTGGCTGTTAGTGAAAGATTTTTAATTGGTTTAAAACCCCAAATGTTGAACTGACAATTTTCTTAGTTTCAATTTACTATATTTAATTAAAGTGTAGTTTATATCTCTTAATATATTATTTCCTTTCTCAATATATATGATTTGAGAGTATGTTCCTTTTTAATAATAATCTTTATTAAAATAGATTATATTTGTTATTATAATTTTTGTCCAATCAAAAATACATATTTATTAATAACGAGCTATGTTAAAACTAAATATAATTATCAAATAAATTAAAGATGCTGTGACATGCCACACCTTTATAGGTCAGAAGCATGCTCAGCTTATTGTCATATAAAAAAATATTAAAATTTTATTTTATAAAACTAAAAATTTTTTTTTATAATTACAATTCCTGGTAGGTAACATCTTTACATGGGATTGAAAATTTACAATCGCAACATCCGATCCTGCCACAGCATATAGGTGGGGTTTATCATTGGAGTGTCCAACAATTACTTCTCTTGAAGTTGTAGTATGACAAAGCTCTCAGCGATTTGTTTGGGATACCAAGGGTCTCTACCACTTGAGATAGGGAGGGTTGAACAATTTTATTATCTTGCCTAATCAGTAACATACAATCATATTGACCGCAATATAATATTATAACTTTCAAATTATTTTTCATTTAATTGTAGTGATGCGTGTATAAAGGAAACTTTATTTAAACATACATTTCTCCAAAGAAATGGAGGAACAATATGAATTTCTCCACTGGAAAGCAGTAACCATAGGTACAAGAATATCAATGGCCAAACCTCAAATAAACGATTAGGTCGGGAATTTATAGCTGATATACCGGGATCCACTGTATCTTCTGATATGCAAAGACCCTCAGTATCGCAATTGGATATATGCAAAGACCCGCTATAACTCAAGTTGTAGTCAATATGCAAAAACCACCAGTATCTCAATTGCTATCAGATATGCAGAAAACCTCTGTATTTCAAATGGTAGATGATATGCATAGACCCTTGATATCCCAAACAAATCGCCGAGAGCTTTGTCAAGTAAGACCCACAACTATGAATCAAGAAGAGTGATTGGCGGAGGTAAACCCCACCGACATGCTGTGGGAGGATCTACTGTACTAAAATAAATTTTTTAATAAGTAAGGATATTATCTTACCTATGAATATTTTTTTTAATTTTTAGTTTTTTAAGTAGAATTATAATATTATTTTTATATGACAATACAATAAGTTGGGCAGGCTTCTGGCAGATAAAGGAGTGGCACGCAGCATCTTCGATTCCTAAATGCATTTGATAATTAGATCCAGTAACATAGCCTGTCCTTCAACTAATATTATGTATTTTTGATTAGACAACAATTATAATAATAGATATAATATATATTTTATAAAGATTATTAAACATAATACTTTTTTTTTTGTGATTTTATGAAATTTTTTTTACTACAGAATAAATTATTAATAAAAAGATCATACTCTATCGATCCGAATCAAAACTAATAACAGACATTATTGTTCCCTATAAAATATTTTATTCAAAGTATATGATTGGCATATGACATAATATAAATCTCCGACAGGCATAAATTATCTGATTGTAAAATGATAATTAGGTAAAATTAAATATAATGTAAATCTATCGCATGCCTACCCTTTACAAGCCACGTGATATTGATCTCATAAGCAGATTTTAAAATCGTTCAGCTGTTAAATCGTGTCTGATCGGATCTCACTATAAATGCGGTCTTAACAATAAGTATACAATCGATAATTAAATCAAAATAAAAAATAATATTCGGAAAAATTAAATATTACGTCTAGAGCTATAGGATTGCTGGATATGGTGAGGTTTTCCAAGTTGGGCGCTATTTTGAGCAAATTATTTATACTGATCCAATCCCTTATTTGGCAATCGTGAAGATACAAGGTTCGCAAACATTCAAAATTATATGGAGCTAATGATAAATTATTTTTTAAAAAAAATTATCAAAAATTTAGAAAATTCAAATATTTCAGGGAACTTTTTCCTTCAACTTCTTTTGATTTAAAAAAAGACGTTAATATTTAAATAAGATGTGATATAATGGAGAAAATAATAAAGGAGCAATTTTGTCATCCTACTCCTTCGCCAATTTAATTCCAGCGAAAAATCTTTCAATTCCCTATTAGTTCTAATCTTATATTTTACTTTGGTTCCATCCTTACCCTAATATAATCTGTACACTTTATCTACCCTAAATCACTTTCATCTCTTTCCCACATTTATTCAAAAAAAACCTGATTTATTTTGCCTCTTATATTAATATAGAAATAACTAAAAAAATTAAAAGTAAAAAATAGTCGTCGTCAAGATTTTAGTTGAGGAGGTGAATTATTATTTTGGGTTTTCTTCATCGATTTCATTGAAGGAGGTTTAGGTTACATTTAAAAAAATATGGGTTTTCTCTTCAATTTTCTTTTTATTATAATTTCGTTTTCTGAAAATTTTGAATATTTAAAATGGATAATAAATATAAACCGAAAAAAAAGAAGAAATACCATTTTCTGGTTTATGCAACATTCCATCGATATCGCCGATACACACATGATTCAAATTGAGGGTAAACAAATTGGGAAATATTTTAGCCAGTGGCGAAATATCGTTCTGCCAACTCTTTATTAGTGAATTGCTTTGTATATCTAACACTTTCACACAATTGTTTACCATAAAATTATCGAGTGCAAGATGGGATAGATCATTGTTGCCCAAGTAAAGTTCGTTAAGCGTTGGGAATATCTGTAACAATTTAGCTACCTGTAAATTGATTATGAGAATCCGAATTAATGGTTTTGTTTTATTATACCTGGGACCAGTCATAATTCATTTTATTTGCCACCAGTCTTTTAACATGGGGAAATGTCCTATTAAATCTATCCAAATCTTTTAGTGATAATTGGTTATTGCTTAAATGATATAAAATTTGATGTTTATCATTAGGTCTGAAGTCGGACTAAAAATACTCCCTTTTTTGACCATTGAAAAACAAAACGAGAATATAAAGGCAAAATTTTAAATGAATAGAATTTACTTCATTTTAACATTTAGCTTAAAGTAAAAGTTAAAATTGCAGACAGCGAAGACCAAAACTGGACCGTAGCCCGACATAAAGTAGAAAGACCGGTAATGACATCAGAGGGCAAGATAAGTTTTTTGTAAAATAAGGTGAGCATTTTGGTCAATAGATTATAGCGCACACAATTTGAGCGTTTGTGTTTTGCCATATTTTGTTTTAATAAAAAAACCGTAACGCATCTATTGTTAAAATTGAGGCGAGATATATAATTTTATATTAAAAAAATGGAGTATGTTAGTTTGGATTTGGAACAATGAAAGATCTAGCCTTAAAATAAATATGGCTTCTAGCGCCAAACGGCAATTTGCATGATGTCATTTTGAATTGTATAATTTGTGTTGGCAACGCAGCGTTCGAAACGTTCAATTTATGCGCACTATAAAAAGTAGTCAACATAATAAAGGATATCGTCATTATAAAGAAAATGTTAACCTATTTCGATTTCATAATTTAAAATTTTTATATATTGTCTTGAAGATCGACAGCTTAGAACAGTTTATGGAAATCATTTTGTTAGATCAGTTTCTGGAATTGATTCATGGGAACTTTAAAATGGTGTCTGATTCTTATATTTTATCCGGGTATATTTACTCTGACTAACTGTGAGGGTCAAAACAAAACAAAAAATTTTCTTCTTATATTTAAAAAAATCTGATATAATAATAATGATATTTCAAAACAAAATATTACATTCATTATATATTTATTAATTGTCATACAAAGAAAATTAAAAAAATCTACTCATAAGATAAATTTATAAAACATGCAATTTCTCAAATTGATGCATATATTTTAAAGGTATTCAATGTTAATTTTTCTTTGTTATTAATCAAATTATATTATAACCTGATATTTAATTCTTCCAAAAAAGATAGATCTTCAAAAATGTGAATAATGTCTTTGAAATGCGTAAAGAGATTGATGGATATATCAAGGTTGACAACATTAGGAGCTAGATTACTTAATGATTCATGGTTATCAAGGCAACTTATATATTTATTAGACAATCCAATGATTTTAAGATTTTTGAGATCTCTAAAATAATTATTATAGATATAATAATAAATAATTTCATTTTTTTAAAGTAAAATAATATATTTTGTAATAAAATAATTACCTTAAAAATATATGTTAGAACCCTGCAAATAATTTTTTTTACTGAAACCCAAGCCCGGCTAAATTTAAATTGTTTTTAGGTCCATATGCTCTTTGGAATAATATTGATTTTCCAATGTTAGGATAAAAATATCTTTTATATATATATTTTGTAAAGTTCATGCCATATATTACTTTTGCTTTGTTGTAACATCTTCAAAACCTACTTTTTCAACACATTGGTTATGATTTATATAAATAGATGGACTAGAGAAGGAATCAGAGTATTGATTGATTAGGGCTTCTTTACATGTTTGACCAAAATTAACCTTTTCTTTAATAACTTCATAGGGTAGAAAAGAACCATTTTTAGATTTTCTAATGAATCAAATAAGTATCTATTATGCATTTTAACTTTAACTTTGTTTGAAAATATCGAATATCCTGATAAACCCCATCATGTTTGCCTTTATTTTCATCATCCCATTCAAGACCTATCCATGTACCTTAAAGTAGAAGGCAAACTTTAATTAGAGTGCCAGCCAGATGACCTTATGTCAAGTAAATATTTCATATTAGCTAAATGTCTTTTTTAAAAATTAGATTATTTCTCTTGTAAATCTTCCAAGAAAAGAAAATATTATCAAAAAAATCATGATTTAAAATGTAGTATGTGTTGTTTGCCATTTTCTGGATCATAGAAGTAGCCAGGATTTTCCTAAGATGGGGATTAATAAATAATTTCTGAGGGGGGGGGGGAGGGGGGACTTCATTCTCAGACCCCTCTTTTGGCAGGCCATTAGACTCCTTTTGCCTGGTTTTCTAAACCTTTAATTTTAAAAAAAACTTATTATTTAAATTGTACATAATTGGTTATCAAGAGATGGTATCAAAAGTATGGAATTAGTAACGGCTCAGTTTTAAAAAACGGCTAACGCAATATTTGCCAAAAATATTAAGCAAGTCTAAATTTTCAGTAACGCCATTCGGTACCTTTTTCTAGGAGTAACTAATAATGGTAACGTAAAACTTTACTTTTTTTCTTGAAAAATATGGAAAAAACATATTTTATTATATAATAAAATTGCTTTTATTTATTTTTTAAATTTTATAAATAATTTAAGCCGACTTTTAAATTTATATCAACCACCAAATTTCTGCATATTTATTTTAAATTATTGTTGTTAAATTTTCAATCAAGATTGTTAATCTAATTAATATTGAATCAATTAATGTATATAAATTTATATTCTTATTCATATAATAATTTATTTTATAAAGAATATATTGTCAATTGTAAATTTTCTCAGATGAAGATAAATAAAACGTACATTGGCCCCAATACGAAACATTTTTTATACCAATAAAAAAAACTAAGGGTACAAAGTTTACTCTTTTAAGTGTAAATTGTGTCCAAACTCAAATATTTTAACAATTGTGGAATAAACATGGGCATCCTCCAAACTGTGCAGCTATTTTTAAGGAAAAAATGGTATATTTGTAAACTGGTTATAACAAGATGGAACTCTTTCTATAACTCTGTGAAATTAATATAATTTTACAGGAGAATGGGCACAGATTTGACGAATCTTGTGATAACTCCAAATTACAGAGATTTTCAGATAATGACAGATTGTCATAAATGAATATTGTATGGCTATATATATGAATTAATAGGTTTGGAAACTGTCCCTACATGTTTCCGATTTTATAGAGAGAAGAAAAAATCCATTTGGGAAATCTCACTCCCATGATGACTATTATATAAAAAAAATGGCTTTAAATAATTTCATTTTGTAAGCCAATTATTAAGGCAATTCTGCAAAACAAAGATAAAAGGTAGAGCTGAAGTATTGTCCACAATTTATATTTTTATAATATTTTATTTCAATTGAATATATATTATCAGCAATAATTCACCCGCTATTTAAATCAGATTGGCCCTGATAAAACTAGATATAGTGAAGGAAGGAAGCCTGAACTTATTTCCTGTTTAAGAAAAGATTTTGAAAAAAAGCAGATTTGGATGAGGATCTGAATGAGATTCCTTAGATGTTGAACTGGGCCCTTTTCAAAATAAAGATTATCCTTTAATTTTTAATAAATTCCCCCAATTAAAATCTTTACTTAACCAATATAATACAACACTCCCATCCTTTACGCCAGTTGAATGTGTGTCTAGCCCAGCAAAAGATTTGTTGAACACCTCGAGAATTCTTGTTTATCTAATGAAAATTTCAAAAATAAATAATTACAAAAATATCTTCTTATAATATATTGTTTTTGTACTAATTTATAAAAAATTAATTATTATAAAAAGATATCTTATATTAGAGATCTGCAAAAGTAGGCCCGGCCGGGCCGGGTTCGGGCCTACTTTAAAAAAAAATTCGGGCCGGGTCGGGCCTTAAAAAAATTTTTAATATTGGCACTAATATTTTTTGTAAAATAAAAATATTTAATTTTATTTGAAGAAGCTAGACGCCATATGATGGCATGTATCTTTTATTCTTGGTATAAATATATAATTAAACTTTTTTTTCAAGAAACAAGGCGGCAACATTTTTTATTTGTAAAATATAAATATTTAATTTTATTTATTTAGAAAGTAGACGCCATATGTCATATATATTTTATTATGGGTAAAATAATTTAAATGTTTTTTTATAAAACTTAAATTTTAAATATAATTTAAAAATGAATTTAATTTTTTTAAAAAAACAAATACAAAATGGAACATATATTTGTATGCCCCATTTAGGTAAAAGCAATATATAGGAAAATTTTGAAGACATATTTGATGATAAAAACAAAAAACTTGATTACGTCCAATGTAAAAAATGTAATAGTATATTACAATATAAAAGCACATCTGGAAATTCTCATTTAAGACGTCACAAGTGCGTTAAGAATGACGATTCCTCTATTCCTAAAATAACTAGGTATATTCAAAAGAAAATAGATCTATATTCTTCCTTAACTATTAAAAAGAAACTATGTGATACCTTGATCTATTATTGCGCCAAGGACATGCGTGCCTTTGATTCAATAACTGGAGATGGCTTTATAAAAATGGCTCAAAATTTTATTCAAATTGGCTCCATTTACGGTAATATTGACTGTAGCGAAATTATTCCCCATCCAACTACTTTATCGAGAAATGCTATAGTTATGACGGATCAAATTAGAACAAATTTGGTTAATAAAATAAATGTTCAATTATTTGATAAAAAATGCTCTGCTACAACAGACATGTGGACAGATTCTTTTAAAAAGTTTTCCTATTTAACTGTTTCAATTCATTATATCGAAGGTGAAACCTTATATAAACATGTTTTATTTACGAATAAGTTTAAAGAAGAGAAAAAAACCGCCGCGAACATACATAAGGAAATGCTACAAAATTTTGCTGCAATTGGAATAATTCCAGATCAAGTGAAAAATATAATATTTATATCTGATCAAGGAGCTAATATAATTAAAGCCCTAGAAAAATACACCAGATTAAATTGCAGCGCACATCTATTAAATACTGTTCTTCGAAATACCTTTAAGGAACAATCTTTGAAAATTATCGCTCCTAATATATATCAAACCCTTATTTCTGCTAAAAAATTAACCATGTATTTTAAACATACCGGCATGAATCAATATTTAGACAAAACATTACAACAAGATATCGAAACTAGATGGAATTCAAAATTAAATATGTTGAAATCTATTTATAACCAATATGATGACATCGTCAATTTTTTATCATCCAAGGGAGATATTAATAAAATGGAAAACTTGGAGAAATCTATTTTGAAAAATTTGATTGTTATTTTATATCCTTTTGATAAAGCTACTAAAGAACTAGGAGATATTAATCCTACTTTACATAAAGTACTGCTATGCTTTAATAATATTCTTCACGAGGATTTAAATGATTCATTTTATCAAAACAATGAAATAAAAGAAATAAAAACCAATTTAAAAAATTTTTTATTATCTAAATTTAAAATCAATATTTTGCATAAAATAGCGACATTTTTATGCCCCAAATATAGAAAATTAAGAATGTTATCATCAATGGAAATATTAGAAGTAGAGAATTCAGTCAAAAATATAATTAATTCTGAAGAATATTGTCCTTCAATTGATATTATAGATTTGGATATTCAAGGCGTTTCTCAAATTGTGGAATCGGCTAAAAGATCTAAAGGTACATTTAAAATTGTTCTATTTATATTATTTTTATATATCAGGCAATGAATATGAAAGATGGGAGGACAATGAGGAAGAATATGGAAAAAAAGAAACAGATGAGCTTGAAATTTATAAGAATTTAAATATAAAAGAGAATAATGAAAATATAGATCCAGAAAAAGATATATTAAAATGGTGGAATAAAAATGAAATTAGATTACCAAAGATGACAAAATTGGCTAGAAAAATTCTAGCAATTCCTGCAACGTCCACAACTTCAGAGAGAACTTTTTCAAAGACTGGAAGGTTATTAGACGAAAGAAGAAATAGACTGTCACCAGAAAATGTTGATGCTTTGATATTTTATGATAATTATAAATATGAATCTAATATATAGTTGTGTAATTTAACATTATATTTATTGTTTGGTTTATAGGTATTTTTGATAGTATTTTAAATAAATAATTAAATACTAAATAAATTTTCTGTTTACTAAGATATTTTTTGCAAAAACAAAATCTTAAATATAAAAAATAAACTAAAAGCTAAAAAAAATATAATTATTACTTTAGGATGAATTAAAAAAAAATCGGGTTAGGGCCGGGCTGGCAAAAATTTTGGGTTAGGGCCGGGCCGGCAAAAGTTTCTAAAAAAAAATTTGTGTTCGGGCTGGGCCGGGAAAAATTTTTTAAAAAAAATTTCGGGTCGGGTCGGGCCTAAAAAATTAGACCCGTGCAGATCACTATCTTATATATTCTTTTTTGCATTTTTTTTTATTTGTATTATATATATAGGGAAAAAATTTTTTTTTGTATATTTTAATTTTTTAAGTAATGATTAATAAGTAACCTATTACATTTTGAATAGCCAGTAATGCAAGTTTCTTTTTCCAAAGGAAATGGATAAATATTCCTTTATGAGTAATTCTATCATTTTTGAAGCAATGTTTATAGGCACTCCTTTGGACATTTAGAAGCTTGCATAATTTTTTTTTGACTAAAATAGTGGATTAGCCATTTTTAAAAACTAAGCTGTTTAGAACACTATCTTGAACTAAATAAATTGTACTTTTATTAAAAATAATGTTATTCACTTTATAAAAAGTAAATTTTATATATTATATTATTTAGTAATTCCATGAACACATTAATATTGATTATATAAAATTGCTAAAATAGCATTTGGCTTATATTTCATTTCTTAAATAATATTTTTATCTTACACTTTTTTTATAATGCTTTTTTCCAAAAAATATAAATTATAGTCATTAATTTTAGTTTAAAAAATGATTAACTTTTATATTCTTTCTTTCAAATTGTTTGATTTATGCATATATTTGAAGGAGGGGGGGGGCAAGGGGGAGGGGCCAGGGCTGATGAGGATATTATTTTATTGTTTAAAATGATATTCACAAAAAGTAACAATCTTTGAAGAGGGGGGGGGGGTATTTTGCTTGTTATGCCAATGTTCTTGATGTATGTTTTACAAGAAAATAATGCAGTCATGAAGTATTAAAATTATTAGGACTGAGGTGAAAAAAAATCAAAAATTTTAATTAAAATAATAGCATTATTCTAATGAAATTTTAACAAGGGACACAAAATTCAATAAAATATAATGTATTAAACTAAAAATATACATATTGCAATGATTATATAAATCGTTGGGCCAAACTTCTAAAATTGGAGTTTCCAATAAATTTAAGAAAAAAATTTATAAAATTTTGTCACAACAAAAATGTTTGATCAATTTTATAACCTTAAATATTTTATTATGAATACAGCTGTTGACAAGCTGTCTTTTAATACAATTTAACTAATATTTGCCCTTAGAATTAGCTGTTGTTTAAATTCAGTTACTTATAGGATGGGCCTATGTCACAGCCAAGTGTTTGGCCTGCCTTATATAAATATATTTATATAAAATGTCTCCTTTTTCTATTGAGCAGGAGATAAGTCTAACTTAAATTATACTTTTGTTTTAACCTTTCTTGTTTAACAATGGTCCAACGTATCGAATTGTACCTATATTTCCATCTAAAAGTATCTTTAACCCATTTTTATATTTTTGAAGATTTAAATCGCATAGCATTTAAAATTATGAAAATTACAAAATTGTTCCCCATATGCTAAATAATGACCGATGTTCTATAACTAATTGTAAAATATATCAATTTATAAAGAACCAGAGCGAATATTTATATTATACTATTAAAATGTAAACATGTCTTAAAATAAATTTAATTAATCAAAAGCGCTTCACCGTTACATCCTTTTAACTTTTTCCCTTATTAAGAAAAAGTAGGATGTAACTGGATGTCTAGGCCTTTATGGCTTTGACATCCCTAAGGCTTTATTAACTAATCAAAATTCAGAATATTACAAATATAAAAGAAAACAATAATGAGTATAAACAAGTATTATAAGGTATTTATATAAATAAATATTGCAAGGATGATTCGTTCTATTTGTTTATTATTGTTTGTGAACTATATTTGCTTTTCTCTAATTTCAGAATATCATACTTAAGCAATTTCAAGTTGACATCCTTATTAATCAATTTAAATAATAATTACAATTAAATCTTTTTTAAATCTTAGACCCTTAAATTAGTTTTTACAACAGCCGTAAATATCATTCATTCATTTAATTTTGAAAGCATGCAGCAGCAATATTATGGTTATCTTTTATTTTTGATACCTTTAATAGCAGTGTTTGTAAGTTATTCCCTACACGAAATTGAAGAAGGTATACTATGTTTCATAATATATTATATATTATAATGTTTAGGTCATATGTCTGTTTATTACAGAGTGAGATGCTTACTTATTTATTAATTTAAATCATTTTATAGGGAGGGGCCTTGTTGTCATCAACGAATGGTCCAGGATACCATCTTATGGTTCCGTTTCTAACATCATACAAAACTGTTCAAGTTAGCTATAACTAAATATTGGTATATATTTAAAATAAAGGTAACACTACAAACTGATGAGGTGAAAAATGTTCCATGTGGCACAAGGTTTTATAATTATAATACATAAATAATTAATGCATTTACTATTTTAGTGGTGGGGTTATGATTTATTTTGATAGAATTGAAGTTGTCAATATTTTAAATCCCTCCAGTGGTTAGTCAATTTGATTATTATATTTTCAATATTTTATTTATTTTTGAAAAAAGTACATGCTATAGTTAAAAACTACACTGCTGATTATGACAAAACTCTAATATTTCACAAAGTGCATCATGAACTCAATCAGTTTTGTAGTGTTCATACTCTTCAAGAAGTTTACATAGATCTATTTGGTAAATATTATTAGGGGGATTTATTAATATGTCATAATAAAATTAAATTGATATTGTTATATATTTTATGTAATATATAATTCAACCCCATATCAGACCCATTTTTTAAGGCCTGGTCCAAAAATGATATTTGTATTTTTTCTAGGTCCAAGTCTGACACTATGCAATCTTTTTCTTCTTCCCAGGGCATCCCAAAAATCAAAGATGTTTATTCCTATCCACCTAAGCCTGTTTAATTTATGATATAATATTATATGAAAACTTTACAAAATAAATTTTAAAAAATGGAAACAACTTTAATAAGTTATATACTTTAAAATATAAAGTTTCACAAAGAAAAATAGCACATATTTTGTAAGGCAAGGCCTGGCAGGCTTCAAATAAAATATTGGCCTTGCCCATGACCTTAAAATTTATTATTATATCCTTCCTATTTTTCCTTTTCTGTCTGATTGAATATTATAATTATAAAATGAATTTTAAAAAATTTTTAATAAAAGTTTTAAAAAATATCATAGATGGGAAATATCTCCTGTTTAAAATATAAATATTTTATAACTTGTATAGTAGATTGAAATGATTAAAAATATATTTAATTATAATATTTTGATGGCTTCAGATGAATTAGCTTATGCTAATAGCCAAAATACAATTTTAAAATGGAAGTTTTAAAAATGTATCATGTCCCTCAAAGGGTTAAACTCTTTTAAAATTTTAAGTCAGGGCTAGATATAGATTTATTTTTGCTACCAGACTTCAGATAGATAGGCTTGGCCTATGATATTTATATTTATAGGCCTTTAAAATACACCTTGTTGATATATAAAATATGCCAATTATGATGAAAATTATAATGAAAAGTATATCATTATTTATTCTTCAGTATATTATTTTTAATTACCATCTGATATAATGAAAGTATGTATTTCTTTTAAAAAATTTTCTATTATATTAGTTTAAACCTTTAATAATTTTGTTTATAATCTAGGTTAACAATTTTATTTGGGCAATCATATTTTCATGGGTATATTTTCGAAACTTAAAATATTTTCAAAAAAAAAATCTTTTTTAGGATCTATAAATATGCTGAATATTTTTTTACACAGAATAATTTTTTAAGGGAATTTTTGGGGAATATTTTCCAAAAATTTTTGTTCTAATATATAAAACGAGAATAACTTTTGAATAAAAGAAAATATATAAAAGTTTATTGAAACTATTATTTTATAGATAAAATTGATGAAGATTTGAGAAGTGCTCTTCAAAAGGATCTTAATAATATGGCTCCTGGGCTCACTGTTACCTCTGTGAGAGTTACTAAACCTAAGATACCAGAATCAATCAGAAAAAATTATGAATTAATGTAAGATTTCTTTAAAAATTAGAAGGTATTATGTTAAAAAAATTAAATTTTAGGGAAGCAGAGAAAACCAAATTGCTGATATCGATACAAAAGCAGAAGGTGGTTGAAAAAGAAGCGGAAACAGACAGGAAAAGAGCTATCATAGGTTAAACAAAATTAAAATTATTTTTATATGTCATAGGGTTATAGGAATATGGCACCTAGGGGCACTCGGAATCTCAATTTTAAATCATCTACAGAAGGTGATTTAATTTTGAAAGATCTTATATGATCCGATATGTATTTACACTAGTGTTAAATGCCTTATATGATCTGATTTTTAAAGATGGTTAACTCAGTATTTTAAACCAGAAAAATATTGTCTATGCCTAGAGATTTCACTAAATGATATCCAAATCTTTGTGCTATTGAACAAAATCTTTAGGCTTGTCTAAAATTTTTCAGGATAAAATATTGAGTTAACTATTTTAATATATAGGCTTAATTCAAGTGGTTTAACAACTTAAACTGGTTATTTGGAAGATGACATACATATATTAGATCTGCTGACTGAGGTATCATTTTAAAATTTGGTCCTGCCTAAATATTAAAAAAAATACTTTTTTCTGACCTGATTTATTTTTTTTGTTAAATTAATATTTTTAAGTTTGTCTTGACTTGTATATATTTTGTAGACTATATTAGCTTTTAATTCAACTATTTTAAGAGTCTTGTTCCAGTTTGGGCTTGCACACTGCTGAAAATATATAAGTAGAATAGTGCCGCCACTAATGTTTAAAAATGATATTTATTTAACATTTTGTTGGTCTGGAGAACTCTACTTGCAAAATTGTTAAATGGGATAAACGATTCTAAGGTTTAGATTCAAATATAAGAATAGCTTATAGATTGGTATAAATAAAAAATTGAGAGGTGATTTTCAATACTTTCTAAATGATAGCTTGAAAAATTTTGCAAAATATTTTTGTGAAAATTTATTTGACAAGATTAAAATGCAAGTGGAGCAAAATAAACACTTTATTTTTTTTGCTTTAAAATGTTCCATTTCAATTATATTTATGAGAATTTATTAAATAAAAGTAAAACAAACAGGTTACTATTGTAAAATCATCAAATTATATAACATAGTCACACAATAGAAATATAATTATAACTTTTTTTCCATACATATTTTATGGTAATTTTTGTTTATAAAATTTAAAAAAGGTGCACAATGGGTGATTATAAAATATAATAATATCATATATAATGCATATATAGCAAATCATACTAAAATAGTAGTGTTGTAAACGAAACGAAGTTCGTTTTTTTGAAAAAAGGTGATGAACGGCGTTCCTTTTTTTTTGACGAACTTTGAACGTGAACGCGTTCCTTTTCTTTGATGAACGCGTTCAATTTTACGTTCGTTCAATTTTAAAAACACTTTTTATTTTTATATATTTGAAAAATTAATATTAATCCGCATTTTTTAACAAAAAAGTCTTATATTTTTATTTATTTGAAAAATTAATATTTAATCCAATTTTTTAACAAAAAAGTCTTATATTTTTTAATCAGCTGTTTTTACTTTTTCCTTTTTCATATTGCAATTAACGTACTATAGTGCTACTGCTAGAGAAGATAAGATTAAAGTTTATTAATTTGAATATTTTATATTTTAATTTAATAGATTAGCATTTGCATGGATATAAATATTTCATAATCAGATTCTGAAAATCAAAATTCAATATTAGATGAATTAGAATTACCATGGCCCAAATATCAAAAATATTTCGCTGTTTTAAAATCAATTCCGAGATATCCTTTTTATTTGACGAGGAAGAAGAGGGCAGATTGGAGGATGATAACATAGCTCAATTTTTTGAAACAATGGATAAAACATTAAATTTTTTTAATAAATTCCCCCTTTTAAAAGAATTGTTTATTAAGTATAACACCGCAATCCCTTCATCCGCCCCTGTTGAGCGAGTTTTTAGTATAGCTAACTCTGTATTAACTGACAAGCGTTCATGCCTATCAGATGAAAATTTTGAAAAGCAATTATTATTAAAAATTAATAAGAAAATTTTTTTATAAATTTATTTTTTTATCGTTCTATTATATTGTATTTATAATTATATTATCAAAATAAAACTATTATTTTTTATCATGGCTAATATATTGTGTTGAAAAATATAAGGCATTTATTTATATTAAATTAAATTTAAAAAAAAATTTATCATAAAATTTTGAACGTATGAACGCGTTCCTTCTTTTGAATTTGAACGTGAACGCGTTCGATTTTTTTAAAAATGTTTACAGCACTATAAAATAGCCTAAAATTGACTGTGCTTGGCCAAAAATTAATATTAAATCTAGTTTTGTGAAAATTATTTTATTAATATCCACTCCCAACCTCTTAAAAATGTCAAGTGAAAGCACTCCTTAGATCAACGATTCATAGGTGCAGATTTAATATTTTTAGAGTGCGTTTTCTAAACCTACAGCATATGGCTAACTCTTAAAAAGAAATTTTTATAATTTGCTGGACAATTTGTTTAAAAACTTTTGCCTTTCATATTTTTAAATGGACTAGTTCATTAATATTTAGCGGTTATAAATTGTTGAGGTTGAATTTTTTTTTCTTCTTTCATGTTATATATTTTTTTATATCTCTTATGGAACACATTTTTTTCTAGAGGCTGAAAAGATTTCTCAGGTAGCCCAAATAACTCAAGATCAAAGGATAATGGAGAAGGAGTCTCTTAAGAAGATGTCTCAGATAGATGGTAAATATAGAATGGTTGAGATATAAATCGAAAAAAATTAGAAATGATTAAATGAAATATTAATATTAATAAAAGAGAATAAAATACCTTATATATTAAAATTAAAGATGAAGCGACATTAGCTCGAAAAAGGTCTCAAGCTGATTCCGCTTATTACGAAGCCCTGAAAAACGTTGAATCTAACAAAGTAAGTGTAATAATTTTAATATCATAAAATATTCATATCAAATCCGAACAAAAAAAATATATATCTACCTATTATAATCGATCACGGTTTTAAGAAATAGTCAAATATTTATATTGTTTTGGGAAGGGCACAGGTAATTCATAGTTAACTTTGGCTTTCCAACTCAATTTGTTTTTTGATGTTTTAAAAAATACCCTTTAGTCCTGAGAGAAAGTTTTTTACGATATAGGGAAACAGGATATCGGAGGATAATTATACATTTAATTGAAACATGTATTCAGGCCAGTACTCAAGAATTTTCTATGGGAGGGGGAAAAATTTTTTTTTGAAATATCAAAAAATTTATTGCCACTTAATCATACAAAATTTATTATAACTAATCATTTTTAAAAAATCTCTAACACAAATAATAAAATCTTAGAAAATACAGAATATCAAAGAGCGAATATAAATTATGCGTTAATATTGTTAAATAAATTATATATAAACCGATAAGTAAATCATAATCATTCAGATATCTTAGAATTGGACATTATGTGATGATCTAAAATAGTTAACTAAAATATCATTTATAAATGGAAATTTAATCTTCCTTGAATGCTGCTTATATATTGGGTCTCTCATATTAAAGGACGCATCTACTAGCAGTGAATTTAATGAAGTATATGAAATAACATAAGAAAGTCTATTACAAGTTATTGATGATTAAAATATTTCAAATGATATCATAAATAGGAGTTAAAGCAGCATGTTTAATAGCAAACTGTATGGAAAGCAGTAACTACCATAAGAAACAATCAGATTCCGGGTTCAAGTTAGTGAAATGAGCTTTTCTCACCATGCTCATTAAGAGAAGTGGCTTTTTTAAAAATAATTTCTAGTTCTACTTCTTCCAAAAAAAATTGGTCTATTTGGGTTAATATTCTTACTAAAATAAAATCGATTGAAGATCTCGACTTGATTAAAAATATTAAGGAAAATGATAATATTGAATATGAATCAGAACAAGACTCTGCCACGGAGAGCGAAATATTAGTTATTGAATGTCATAAATAAGATTATAAAATTAATATAGATTCATTTTAATATTTTACACAAAATATTAATATTGTTTAAAAAAACACTTATTTGAATTTGACCGGTCAAAGTCAATTGACCGAATCGTATTTGACCTGTAAAATACACAACCCTGCTTCTTTGAGATTGGGGCAAATTTTCAATAAATTACTCAGTATTGGGGATCAAATATCCCCAACTTCATTTATATACTCGTCATTCGCAGTTTTTTATTTTATGCATGTTAAAATTTTGATAAAAATTTTACTTATTCAAACCAATATTTAAATTTTTTTAAAAATAGAGTTATATTTTAAGAGAAATTAATTTTAGACCCATTTTCTGATAAGATTTTATTATGCCTTTTGCTTGGTTGATTTGGTTAAGCGATCTATTATTCCTTTATCAATTTACCAGAGTGTAAATTAAGCTTGCAGTGGGTATTGATTATCTATTCCAAGACAAAAGAGGATTGGTCCAAACGGGTCATCGTTGGATGTCTTCTGATGATGAAATCAGTTTATCTCCAAATAATGGTGTGTTGTTCTGAAATAGCAGTCTTGTAGAATTTATGAAAATTTAGGATAATAAGAGTTGACAAACTACAAGAATGGCACTGCTTCCTAGGGTGTGAATATATTGGTATAGTATATTTATAAAAATGTAATCACAGGGATTGATATCTACGTACAGTCGGTCCTTGTAAAGGCCAGCTTTACAACCGCTTAACGTTAATTGTTGGAGCTTGACAAAAGATATCAATCACCAATGTAACTGTTATATAGATGATAGAATAATAGGGGACACCACTGACCAAGTAAACCAGATCTAATAGAATTTTATGAGTATGAGAACATATGTCTAAAAATAAATTCTCTTAAGAATGAGTACTGTCTCATAAGCAGCAATGTTCAAAATTATTTTAGGTCAACAATAATGAAAAAGAGGGTTTTACATATCTAGGGTCTCCTTATAGGCATGAAGACTCGTTTTCTAAAAAAATTTTGGACAATTCAGGACGGCACACCAGGCATTTTTTATATTAAAGTATCTAGTACCCAAAATTATCCATACCACCCTCTTACGATCGATACATCATATTTTTCAATATCCTGCAGTTCCGCGAACATGAAATAAAAACTGCCAACCAAAGTGGGTTGAATTGTATATATCCTCACCTTCCTTACTCTCGGTCAATCTTCGCATTTATTATGTGACCAACTCATCAAAAAGCTAGTACATCCAGATCCTCTATTCATCAGGTTATTAACCTTAGAAAGTCTTTCCTAGTCTCTCTTCCCCATTGCAAATGAACTGGGATTTACCCTTGTTGGCAACTTAATTGAATTTAATAAATTGAGAAGCCAACCTTTTGAAGATTATCTTTTCAACTTCTGGAAACTCTTATGAATTCCTTGAAGCAATCCCTTCAAGTAATCTCGACTTATTACTTACAAACGATGAGCTACATTATGCCATTCGACTCATACTTAACTGTTATATTGGTAATACCATACTCATGTGCACCTTCAAACCCCCGTTGACTCTAAAGGTCGCCATTTCCATCATTGCAAGGTGGAGGCAGTTTGTTAAGACATACCAAATGCAATGATATTATATGTCGCGCTTTGAAATCTGCTCGAATTCACTTCTACTTTAACTGACTGGACTTTGCAATATAGGTGGTAAACGTCATGAGTCATCTAATATTTCATGGAAATGTGGTTAGTTCCTAAACTGTGTGTAGATCCACTTGCACCGCTATTGCCAACTTAGGACAGAGCAAATCGACAAAATATTCTTCTGCTTTGCCTTCCAACCATTTATTTACCAATGATTGCTACATGTTAAGCTCTTTTTTATCATATCCTAGCCTTCTTCAAGAATCTAGGGCATCACATTACATCTAACACTGAAAATCCAAACTAAGATTTTCCTTCGACAAAAAGTCGCAATTAGTATAATCCAAACTAACTTTATTAGCTTCATATTCTTCATTGATGGATAGATGAAAGCCAATTTTACATCTCACCATCTTAAAACTATTAAATAACCTTATATTAATCAAATTCATTTTAATTTTACAAATTATATATTATAACGAATATTCTAATAAAATATTCCCAGCATAATTTAATATTTAACACATTAACTATATTATATTGTGATTTGTATATTTTATGTCTAATCTTCAATTAAATCTATTTTTGGTCTTTTCAAATTTTCTAAAAGCTTTCATAAAAATTTTTAAAACACCTTTTTAGTATTATATTTATATATATTAATGAATATATTTTTTTAATTGGTCATTGGTTTCTTTATTTGAATAGTAGCTAATATAATATATTATAAATAGATAATGGCGTATAATTATTTTTTCTAAGATAAAATTAACAGGTGAAAAATAGTATTAAGAAGAAAGGATAAGAAATTTAAAAAGAGGTTAGGGCCGGGTTCGGGCCAGGCATGGCAGATTATTTGAGGGAAGAGATGGTTATAACGAATAATGGCGGTAGCAAGTCTATGTCATAAGAAATTAGGCTGATAGGTCTTGTCACGAATCCGGCTCTCCAAATCTTGAAAAAAGAATTTGAAATCTTATTTTTTTAAGTTGATCATATGCCAAATATAATTATAAATTATATATATATTTATTTTAAACTTTAGCTCTTGTACTCACCTCAATTTCTCCAGCTCAAATTGTACGAGGCTCTTACCAGTAATGTCAAGATGTACTTTGGACCTAATATTCCTCACTTCATTGCAGAAAATATGAACCCGCTCAATTTTACTAACCAATTCAAAACACTTTGATAGAGAATTGATCATTTAAAATTATATATATATTTTTAAACCTTTCTTTCTCGAAAATCAAAGAAAGATTTTTGAAAATTTGTCATACAATATCAAAGATAAATGTACATGACTGTGATATTAAATATATAAATATTTTTAAAATTATCTACCATAATGTTTTAGTATAAACCAGAGACTTACAAGTTGCATAGACTACCTAACACATTAATTTTCCTTATAAATTTAGCCATAAAAATTCATAATTTAAGATAATATATAATCATTAGGGATTTTGAACTGGGGTTTTACAATCGGATGCCCTTCCTAACATCAACACCCTTAGGTGACTTTTCACCTCGTCGAGGAGACACTGATCATATTCTAAATCCAGACCACAGGGAACCTTTTAAACCTATCCCCCCTCCCTTCCATGTTGTGACTGAAGATAGGAAGTCAGTATAAATTATTTAAATTTTTATTTATTTTCTTTCTATAAGATAGAACATATAATTTATAATGAATGTTCCTATTATTTCATATTTTAATATGATTTATTTGTCAGATTTATCCAATCATATAAATTTGACTTATATCTTTTAGTTTTTATAATTGTCTATAAAAAATTTGCGCATGAAGCAAGAACCCTATTAATTAGCAATCAATCTCATTGTATATTGAACAAATTTTAGAGCTATGGAGCAGAGTGAAACAGTCACAAGCATATGTTTTACTAACTATGCAGTTCAGTTAAACTCTAATAAAAACCAAAGAATCTTAAATTGTTGCTAGGCAAAAAAGACAATTAAATTTTTAAAAAATACATTAATATTCGAAATCAAGATTATATTTAAATATTAGTTGATAATTAAGTAAAAATTTTATTATTGCATTTTTTAAATACCGTTTTATAAGTAAAATATGAAATACATTTCGCTATATTTTTCCGCAATTTAAAAAATTCTCATAATATAAAGTCTTCCGAAGTTTTATAATTATAAAATTTAATTTCATAAATGTCTAAAATAACAGAGTTTAATATAAAAATTTGAGTGATATAACAATTTTAAAATATGACTAGTCTGTTCCAAAAATCTTTGCAAGCAGCGTTTACATCACAGAAAATTGTGCAAATTTCTCAAATATATCCTTGTTTTTATGTCCTCACATTTTACTATAGCAACCCCATGATATTAATAAACAAATCTTAAAATGAGACCATATATAATCTCCCAACCAATTTTTAATTAAAACTCACTTATCAAGTCTAGAAAGCCAAAAATGTAGATAGAGGAAGAAAATAAGGAAATTTTTACCAGTTTCCAAATAGTGACCGACGTGACACAATTTATATAAAGAAGAATAATTTGATATACACTTTGATACAACCTTTAATTTAATAAACATTTTTTTTTGAGACATATATCAAATTTATGAAATCTTAAATTCTTTTGTTTTCTTCAGTGGCCATATTTTTAAAATAAATTTAGACATGGCAATCAATTTAATTTTGAAGAAAACTTCTAGCTGCAATGTATATTTTTTTTAATCAAAAGTTGTTTTCTAAATTCAAACAAAGGAGTCTCTAAAATGGTTGATAAATAAAATTCGTGCGGTATTTTTAAATATTAAAAGCACAAAATAAATCACTTACGAATAATGGACGATATTTTATAATCAGATATTGCGAAATATACTATTTATTATATGCAATTCAGGCTTCATTTAATTTACGGATAAAAAAATATAATATTTTTATAAATAAAAATATTGGTTGTTTATAACATATCCTGTTTCTATAATTTTGTAATCTGAAATAAAATATGACATAAGGCAAGTTTGTATCGACATAGATATAATTGTGCACACATACATTCGTAGAGGAGTGAATGAATGCATAATTAAAACATCAAAAGAAGGGAAGGTTCTTTAAAATGTATAAAATTTAAATGACCATTTCCTGTTTTAATGAGGTGGGGGGAGGGGGGGGGCGAATTTATTTTTATAACGATTTATGGATCTCACTCTCCGCTAAATCAATGGTATTGCATTTTGTACAGTTATCAATTAACTTAGTCTGATTGTAATCGTCATGAGTACCATGAGGGTTGAGGCAAGCTAAATATTCCAATCTCGTCAATGATTTGAAAGACTTTAGGGATCCGACGCGATTTTCGATACGCCTGTATTCTTGGAAAAGAGGATTTTTGAAACTAAACTTGTTATCTCTCCAATCAAATGGTCTGAAACGCTGGAAACCTTTGAGTAAATGATAGGTATTGCGACCAGTCATATCTACATCATTTTCGTTATTGCAATTATGATAAACCTTGTAAGGTAGAGTGTCATCTTCAGTATAGGAAGAAGAACAGGAAGGATTAGTAAGCACTAGATTATCAAAGTTTCCTTCCCTACTTTCGATTGCATCTGAAAAAATTAGAAATCCGCTAAGATCATTATTATTCGGAATGATTTGATAGTTATGAGAAATTTTAGCGATGTTATTTGTATCAAATTTCGGGGTCTCATTACTCCTGGCAGAAATGGGCGAGAACAATGAATCTATGGAGATCGACTTCGAATGCTCAAAGCTTAGGGAAATTTCAAAATATAAGTGTAATTATTAAATTAAATATGATAAAAATAAAATTATAGTTGGGTGTGTTAACAAAAATGTATTTGATTTAAATCAATTCGAGTTCAATTATATTTTAAATAAATCAAATCTAATACATTTTTAAAGTTTATTCCAACAATTTTTTTTGTTTATTTCAATTATGTAATTAAAAGAAAATCAAGTTGATAAAATCGATTTTTTTGAAATTAGAAAAATATTAAATACACCCAGAGGTATTTTTAATTGTACTAGAACCTCCAACAACGCGAGGGCCGTTAATAATTGCACAATATTATGATCTACCATTATTAATCTAATTGTTTTTCAAAGAAAAACAATAACTTGAATTTAAATACAACTTTAAAAAAATTCCATTATGTAAATTTAATTTATAATTAAATATTTTTTAAAATATTATCCCTATGATTTTAGACCTTTTTTTTAAATGAAGGTTAGGACAGCGACAAAATTAATTTCAGAATTATTTCCAAGCATCTAGTATAAATTTGATTATCTTCACTTATCATTATAATTTCTTAAATATTTGATTATTAATATTTATATCTCTCCCCGGATATAAACAAGTATCAAAATACTGTTGATTTGAGATTGGAGTTTACTGAATCAAACAAAAGCATTTATTTATCTTTAATCAGATTATTGAATGGTTAAAACCAATATTTTCCCCAAGAATTCAAAAGTCTCTTACAAAGTCCAAGTTATTATTAATTGTTTTAATAATTTATAAAAAAATAATAAACCTTGAAGTTGATGGCGATGTATTTATATAGCCTTCATGGTCTATATTAGAGAATGAGGGAGAGAAGGAAGGGACAGATGTATCCTCGGGGATCAAAATATTTGCAATATTCTTATTAAAGTTTCCATATTTTTTATCCTGGAATTTATAATTATCCGCGAGATCGTAAAATTCCTTTCCCATATCCTGGTTGTAATAGACAAGGTGATTGTTATTGTTATTTAAATTTTGAGCATCTATAAATAGATATTGAAGAAATATAATTTAAAAAAAAGGAAAATTATTAAATTTCTTTCTCTGAATCCTTCCAAAATAAACTTGAATGCACCTTTAAAGTTAGAACATGGCATGAAACAACAAATATATTTATCCGAGATCGGCAAAGGTACCATTTGACGGCACGCCTGGTCTTTTCCAACTTGGAATTTCTTTTTCGGCCAGGCCCGGATTTTATATTTTCAGCTCGGCCCGGATTTTTCAAATTAAATTATATTTATTTTTAAGTTTTGATTTAAAATTTTTGGTTTTAAAAGCCCGGCCTGGATATATTGTAAAAATAGTTTTTAAGCCCGACCCAATTATTTAAAAAATATTTTTTAGGCCCAGTCCGGGAATATCCAAAAAAAATTAAAATACGGGCCTATCCCGTGTACCCAGGCCAGGCCTGTTGATCTCTGATGTCTATATAAACAAATATATTTAAATGTAAACAAAATAATTTAATATGTATGATTTTGTTTTACAATAATTTCCCTCCTTCACGATAGGATCATTTTGTTGCGGTTCTAAAACATTTACCGAGGGTTCGACACGTTCTAATCCAATCATTCGGCCACCTTGTTGTGAGGGTACGGTGATTCGTCGCCTAGGAGTCTGAATCAGCTGTTCATTTTGCTGTTGAGATCTGAGAACGCTAACAAGTGTTAATTTCCGAGCTGGTTTAAGGAATTCCTTAAAACCTTTTCTGTATAAGGAATATATAAGCGCAAAAGGAAAAATATTATAAAACATATCCTTAATTAGACTGTCAGTAATCAAAAAGTTAATAATATGCGAAAACAGGTCCTGTTTTTGAACTTAAGTTTAGAAATTTCAAGTAAATTATATATCTTTTTTCTAAATCTAAAATACGAAAACCAATTAAAGAATTTCTTTCTTTGTATGTGAAAAAGAAAAAGGATAGTAAATGTTTTAAAGAATCGAACACAGAGTAATAAATATTACCTATTCTTATTAATCTCGTTTTTTTGAGTTTTAGCGGGGACGTTCTCACTTGCCCTACCTAGTGAATCATCATATTCCGGACCGCTTATAATTTTTGCCTCCGAGTCTAACTCCTCTTCTTTATTGAAGTAATCCTTATCCTTGGTACTTGGAGCGTTATTATTATTTCCATTGGCGATTTTCTCAGGAAATATGTCAGCTTTCTTAGATAATGCTGCATTTACATCTTTGCTATAGCTATGTGCTTGGGAATATTTGGAGGGGGCAATTGCTATATGTTTTACCTGGGGATGGCTATAAAAATAAAGAATGATTGGTTATAATACATAGTTATATTTTGATGGGTTCATATTTTTAGTTTGCTCTTTAGGCTTAGTTTAGTTATCGTTTTCTTGTTTATAGTTATCATAACCTTTATATTTTAGGCCAAGGTTAATTAATGTGTAACATGATATCGAATTGTTACCATTATAGTGATCTTATTTTCTTTTAAATAACAAACACTTTAAGAAATAAAATATTG